AATTTTTCAAAACCCAAACGTTTTTTCAAAAATTGGGTAACGCGAACCTATTTGGAAATTCCTGAATAAAATTTGAAATCACGATTTTTAAGAAACTTGTAAGCATTTTGTGAAAATCCTAAAAATTGAAAACGTGAACAAATTTTTAAAAGATGAACATTTTTTGAGCATAGTAAGAAATTTGAAAAGAAAACATTCAATTTTTTTCTAAAACAAGAACATTTTTTTGTATTCTAGAACAATTTTTGAGAAATGCGAACAATTTATGGTATATCTGAGAAATGCAAACAATTTTTAAAACAGGAACATTTTTTGAAATTTATGAATATTTTTTTAAACACGAACTGTTTTTTAAATATTGAAGGTTTTACAAAACGGGAACATTTTTTGAAAATTTCGAACAATTTTCGAAAGATCATCTTTAAAAATTAAACTTGAAAAATAAAATAAATCAAAAGGCGAAAAAACAAACAGAAAACTAAAAAACTAAAAAGAAATAGAAATAATAAACGTAAATATAAGAGTGAATAAAAAACCCCAAGAAAAAAGGGAAAATTAGTCAAAAAGAAAAAAACAGTTCAGGGAACCTTCTAGAAGGTTCCCAAACCGGCAAGCTAGATTTTGTATAATGGGCCGGCCAATTTCTAGCGACTTGGGGCATCGCCATCACATAGGGTTTTCCTTGTTTTTCCTCCCAATTTCTTCTGTTTATGGTCTGATGAAATGTCTTTTATAATGCTTTTGAAAAAACATTGACCGTTGACTACTGAACAATGACCATTGAGTTTTGAATAAATTACATGGATCTGAATTATTTTAAGAAAAGTTCAAACTTTTAAGTAAAGCATAAATTTCAAAAAGTTCAAGAATTTTAAAAAGTTTAGAAATTTGAAATATTTAAAAAATTCTAAAAATTTCGCTAATTCAAAAAGTTCACCAATTTGAAGAAAGTTCATTGTTTTTGAGAAGAAAATAACTCATTTAATATTATTTTTTTTGCAGGTTTATAAAAAAGTACATTGATTTTGAAAAGAAGTTTGGAATTTGAAAGAAGTTTGTGTATGTTTTAAAAAAATTCCCGGATTTGGAAAAAGTTCATAAACTTAGAAAAGAGCTCACTTCTTTGAAAACTTCGCAATTCCTATTTTTATGTTTTCTAAAATCAACGGTGGTCAACCGTGTCACCAGTTAACTGTTTGACCAAGGAACCAAATGCGTGCGAGGGGACTGCACTGCTAGTGATTAACAGGAGGCTGGCCCAATAGCTTAGTAGGCGTCAGTCTCCTAGCGGGCGTATAAGGCACTGACTAGGAGCTCCATCCTGGATCCTCATGCCAAATAACCATTGATCCGCCGAGAAGAACAACGATTTTTTATTTATTTTTGATCATCCGGGAAGAATGACGATATCCCCGTGGCCCACGTTCACGAAAACCGCAGTTCGGTACATCTCACAGATTGTGGCGGCACATTGATCTGGAACTCGATCCATCAACCCGTTTCAACTACAGGCAGCATGTCCACTGCGCACTGTCAACCATTAGCCCTCAGAGCTGCCGGCCCAAAGAAAGCCTCAACAATCTTCGTTATACTCGCCAGCACCTTAGGGGGCACGTCAGGCTGTCTATATCAACCATGCCGGCCAGGCGTGCCGGCACCAACTGCCATGATTATAACTATATACATATAGTAAAAGGTTATAGGACGGCAGCATCTGATACTAAAGATGCTACCGGCTGCCTTGCTTAATCCGCACACTGATAGCCACGCCATATTTTCAAAGCTCAGATTAAACAAATCTTAAGGGTACTAACCAAGCCATAAGGTGTGTATCTAAGTCTAAAGAACATGAGGATTCCTCGTTTTCTCAGACACACATGAGGATCACAGGAGTTTTGGCTGCTGGTGGCTTGAACAAGAGTTCCATTAGAGTGTTTTGATGAGTTCAGATTCTGAAGCGCAGAAGGAGGAGGTCACCACAGGTCGAAATCTGGCCGGATCTACATCGATTACGAGCCAGGTCTGTTGCACTTAAATTGTTTTTAACCTAATTCTTTTTGTGAGTACCCTAGGTTGTACTACTATCACTCTAGCTAGGTCGATGCAAAAATAAGTAGTTTTCCTTCCAATTACAAGCCAGGTACGTGGTGGTTCTTTGGTTTAATGGATAAAAGGATCAAGGAAGACACCTCAGGTTGAAGGTCAAATCCAGCTATTTGTCATCGACACCAAGCTACCACACTCAGTCATACGGTACCCATGGCTCCACGTGAGTACATGATTTCCACGATTAAGCTTCAATGGCAGCAACAACAGCCAAGCCATGAGGTCTCTTTTTTTTTTGCGGGGATCAATGATGCTATTTGGATGGTTTCAGATTCAGAAATGCACAACGATGTCACCAAGATCGATTGAATCTTAATTAGCCGTTCCGATGCAGGTGTGTCATCCTTCCCTACTGGCTATCTCAGTTTGTACTCCCTCCATGTCACAAATACATGTCTTTTTGGATATTGACATAGTGTTCAAGATTAACCTTTGACCACTAACTTTTACAATAGTATAAGTTGAATGATTTTCTTTTGAATGATTGCTATATATTACACAAGGAAATTATTATATTATGAACATGCTTTTCGAGACGAATCTGATATTGGCCAAGCGCGAAGAAGGTAAACACCTTTGGAACATGCTTTTAAAAAAATTATTGTATTGAACATGACTTTGACATGGTTTACAAGTTCTCAATCTAAATTTTGAAGCAATATTTATAGTCTTAAGTTCTACAGCTTGACATAAGACGTATCCAAAACAACATGTATTTGTGATAAGGAGAGAGTACTTAAAACAGTCTCCCTCGGTGACAACAAGAATTACTTCTGATCTATCTTTTGAAGTTCTCAAGCCTAGTATACATTTTTGCATAATGCATTGTGGTTTCTCCCTGGACGATAAGTACAATAAAGATTAGTTCAAGAGAAACAACGAGCTTCTTCTTTTGTGTAGTGGCAAGGCCTCACGTGCTTCTTAATGTGCGGTGTTCCCTCTTTGTCTTGGTTGAAATGTGAACATGTGAGCCATTTTAACATGAGACGTCCCTATATGGAAGCGGAGTATGATGGTTAGTTATTTGATCAGATGTCATTCTCTTGTCAGTTATTAACATTAATTGCCACAATTAACTATAACATAGTGCAAAGCTTTAAAAGTTCTCATGGACTGTCTGTCATGACTCGTAAATACCGTTTTGTTTGATTATGTGGGAAGGTTAATACTACAAAATAAGAGTTATAGGAGTATTAATTTGAAAAGGTTTTCTTTTATTTCACTTTTCCACTGTGGTTGCAGAGTGTAAAGGCGTTCTGGCAAGTGCTTGTTACTAGCAGAATGCACTAATAGTTTGATTGATACATCACCTACTTCATTTTGCAGTGGTCATTTTGATAATCAGGAAAATATACAACTAGAACATCACCAAACAGTGAGACAGTAGCAAATCTCAGAAGGCAATGGCGGAAATTGTGATTCTTCTAACCATTAAAAAGATTGGAAGTGCCTTGGCAAGTGGAGCGGCTGATCAGGCAAGCGCTCAATTTGCAAAGTACGGAACACGACTAATAGAGCTACAGGGCAGCATGGGTCGGCTAGCGAGGGAGCTACGTGTAATTCATGATGTTCTCTGTCAAATGGACATTAGAAACCAGAACAATCAAGTGTACGAGGGCTGGTTGGAGGAGGTACGGAAGGTAGCACATGTGATGGAGGACATGGTGGACGAATAGTTGTATCTAGTTGGTGGAAAGCATGATATAGGGTGTTGCTTTTACATGAAGAAAGGGTTCAGAAAACCAAGATCTCTACTTTCTTTGAAACGGATAGCTTTCAAGGTGAAGGAAATAGAGAAAGACCTTACACACTTGTCAGAGACAAAAAAACGTTGGGTTTGCATGATAAACAACGAGGATACTAGCAGCTCAAGTTACATTGTCGAGAGGTCCCAAGATCTAGCAAACATTTCACGTTCTCTCGATGAAGAAGATCTAGTGGGAGTGGATAAGAACCGAGAAAAACTCGAGCAGTGGTTGGCAGATGGTGATTTGGAACACTCCGTGATAGCACTGCTTGGAATGGGAGGGCTTGGTAAAACAACTTTAGCTGCAAATGTGTATAGGAAAGAGAGAGCAAAATTCCAGTGCCATGCTTGGGTATCCATCTCCCAAACCTATTCTAGAGAAGATGTCTTCAGGCATATAATCAAGGAGCTTTTCAAAGACAAAGTCAGTGCTCTATTTAATGCTGCAGCGATGGACATCACATCCCTTGAAGAGACACTGAAGAGATATCTAGAGCAAAAGAAGTATCTGATCATATTGGATGACGTTTGGACTCCAGAAGCATTTGATGACTTGTGTAGGGTGCTTATTCATAATGATAAGGGTAGTAAACTGATAATCACAACGAGAGAAGGCAATGTTGCCGCACTTGCCTCTCGAGGACATGTGTTAACACTAGAAGCTTTACCAGAAGACAAAGCATGGGATCTCTTTTGTAAGAAAGCCTTTCCAAGAGATATAAATCATGAGTGTCTTGCACAGTTGAATCCTTTGTGTGGAGAAATAGTTAGCAAGTGCAAAGGCTTGCCTCTTGTTATTGTGTTAGTTGGTGGCCTCTTGCGTGAGAAAACTGTTGAAGAATGGAGAAGAATAAATGTACAATTGAGTTGTGAGTTAATAAATAATTCAAGGTTTGATCACATAAGGAATGTTTTGCATCTGAGCTACATATACCTTCCAACACAGTTGAAAAGTTGTTTCCTGTACTGCAGCTTGTTCCCAGAAGACTATATTTTCAAAAGGAAACAACTTGTAAGGTTATGGACAGCAGAGGGGTTCAGTGAGGAGAGGGGTGAAAGCACATTATAAGAAGTTGCAGAGGGCTATCTGAAGGAGTTGATTGATAGAAATCTGCTACAACTTTTTAAAAGGAACTCATTTGGTAGGATGAAGAAATTCAGAATGCATGATATCTTACGTGAATTGGCACTTGATTTATGCCAGAAGGACTGTTTTGGTGTTACATATGAGGATAAATATGGTGAGTCTCTTCAGATGGATGGACGTCGATTGGTGTTGCACAAACTACAGAGGGATATTCAGCAGCCAATTTCTAGTATACACCGATTTCGAACTGTCATTACACTGGACGATAGCATGCCATCATTTACTCTACTACCTCTGCTGTGTAATAAGTCAAGATATATGGCAGTGCTAGAATTAAGTGGTCTACCCATAAAGATGATTCCAGATGCTATTGGAGATCTTTTTAATCTCCGCCATTTGGGCTTGCGTAATTCAGAAGTGAAGATGCTCCCGAAGACTGTTGAGAAGCTTTATAATTTGTTGACACTCGACCTTCATGGATGTGACATACAGGAGTTGCCTAGTGGGATTGTGAAACTGAAGAAGCTTAGGCATTTATTTGTTGAGAATTTCTTTTATGTTGATAGGAGAGAGATTCAGTGTTGCACTGCTATGCGTATCCCTAATGGTCTTGGAAATCTAACACATCTGCAAACACTACAAGCATTGGAAGCACAGGATGAGTCTGTTAGACATTTAGGGGAACTGAGGCAACTGAGAAGCTTAAGGTTATGGAATGTGAAGGGAATTTACTGTGGAAGAATCAGCGAATCTCTAATTCGGATGCAGTATTTGTCGTACCTTGATGTGAATGCATGTGATGAGAACGAGGTTCTATTGTTGAATGCTCTCATGCCGAATCTGCAAAAGCTATGTTTGACTGGACGATTAGCAGAAGGGGCGTTAGACGAATCTCCCCTCTTCCAAACTTTTGGGGGGCAGAACTTGTGTTCATTGGCGCTATCATGGTCACACCTCAGAGAAGACCCCCTTCCATCCCTTTCTCGTTTGTCAAACTTGACGCGTCTACAATTCACCAGAGCATACAACGGACAACAGTTGGCATTTCTCACGGGGTGGTTTCCCAAGCTAAAGATTCTCTCTCTAAGAGACCTGACTAATCTGAGTCGGCTAGAGATACAACAAGGTGCCATGGCGAGCCTAGAAAAATTAGCACTGGTCAACCTCAATAGCATGACGGAGGTCCCACCTGGCATTGAGTTCCTCACGCCTCTCCGGTTTTTAGGCTTCCTTGAAATCACTGGTGATTTCTTGATGTTGTTGCGCCAATGTTCTGCAATTCAATGGACACAGTGGCAGTATTCTCTCCGAGACTGACCTGTCACATTGGTCTGGAAATTTGTTCGCAGTAAGCTATAACC